GCCTAAGAAATAATCTATATATTAATACGCTAACATAAATTTTGTCTCCGTTCGTTTGGCGATTCTATCGAACCAATTTCAAAACCAAGACCACCGTTGGGAAGGAATTTTTCCGTAGATGAGCAGAATTTTTATGGTTTCACAATTGGTTGAAAATTACGGCCAAAACCGTTGTTTAAAAATTTTCGAATTGTGTATAGATGTTGCTGCAACATGTTCAATTTGACATGTTTCGCCTGTTGTTTCACTACACATTTGAAATTAAGCCTAATTAAATTAAATAAAGATAAATATGAAGATGAAGAAATAAATGAGAACGATGGAGTCAAAAAAAGGGCAAAAGTGAAGATAAAGTCGAAAATGGAGACAATGACAGATACATAAGAATTAGGGTAACTAAAAGGGTAAGAACATTTCTAGAATTTATGAAGTAAACTTCTTTAGCGGCAGTTGGGTTGGTTGGGAGTAAATTGTCAAATTCAAGGGGAATAATGCACATGGAAATGGTTCTCAGCGGTTTAGCGGTTTGAGAATAAAAACAAAAACAAAGATGCCTAGAGGTACAGGCAAAAACGAAGATCAAAGAAAATTTAAACACTTTAAGGTAAAGGTGAAGAGGAATATGCAAAATTAAAGATAAATATGAAGAAAAGGATGAGGATGAAGATCGATATTGTTATCGATATAAAACCCGATATTTTTATCGATATAATAATCGACATTGCTATCGATAAAATAATTGATGTTGTTATTGATACTGTTATTGATTAAATAACAGCTATTGTAATCGATATAATAATACAATAATGGATATTGTTATCGGTATAATATTCGATTAAGTAATTGATTTATATTGTTATCGATATGTACAATAATCGATACTGCTCATTGTTATATTTATCGATGAATTAATCGATCGTTGTATTTTTTATATGTTTATGGATATCGTTATCGGTATTTTTATCGGCACAGTTATCAACAGGGTTATCCATATAAATGACATCACATTACATTATATCACATGATATGAAGAGACATCACATGATATTACATCACATAATATGATATCACATCACATTATATGGCATGACATCACATGACTTGACATCAAGTGATATGTCATCGTATGATACGACATGGCATTACATGACGTGGCATCACATGATATGACATGATATGGTATGACATCATATGACATGACATCAGAGGATATGACAACATATGAGATGACATCCTATCACATCACATAAAATCACGTCACATCTTATCACGTCATCGCACCTCATCTCATGTACGTGAATAGATAAAGAAAAGGATAAAAGCAGAGATATGAAAGATAAAAACAAAGATGAAGACCAAGGTAAATTTACCGATTTCAAAACC